ATCGTTACTTACTGCTCAAGACCGCACTCGGCGGGGAAACGGTGTATCTACACGTAGTGTACGCACCTGATGAACCGATGAACCGCGGCGAATACTATCGGGCTTTGCCCACCGGCTTTGATGCCGACGAAGACGACGTTGAAACGGGAGCTAAACACATTGTCGTTGGAGACTTCAACTTAACGATGAACGACTACTTGGACCAGACGGCGGCTGACCGACCTCATCTGAGACGAGGACGGGAAGAACTTGAAGATTGGCTGGATACGCTTGGGCTAGTCGACGCCTGGCGGTTCATGCACCCCGAAGTTCGAGACTTCACGAGCCCTTCGCGAAAGAACCGTTTGGACTATTGTTTTGTGACCGCGGACCTATTACAAGACAATTTGATCTCAGTGAAGCATATTCGCGACCAAAAGTGGCATAATGAAGATCACATACCGGTGGCGTTTTCGCTCGAGGCCAAGCGTCTACAGCGGACCGGACGGCCACCGTGGCGCTGCCCACCCTGGCTTCTTAGAGATGCAACGGTGCAGGATTATCTCATCCGGTCGGTCGAAGCATTGGCTGACCGAATAAAGATTTTCCCAGGAGCTAATCCTGGCTGTCTACTCGACGAGCATAAGCGTGCGGACTGCATCTATCTTCGGCGCCGCTGGCTCGAGCTTCGGAAGGCTGACGAACGAAAGATGGCAGCTAAGATCGACGCCGTTAACGACGCGACTGATCTTGTCAACGTGATACCTACGGAGGAGAACCACACTGCGTTGGAACAAGCCAAGTTAGATCTTCAGTCCCATAGGGAGGACATCAAAGCGCGGAATGAGTACAAGAAGTTTGCTGCGGACTTACATCTCAGCGAGCGAGCAACTAGCTATTTCTTTCGCGCCCCGCAATCTGACTGCCTTCGGTCTCCAATCACAGCGCTGACCCAAGAGGACGGTACTGTAACAGATGACCAAGATGCCATTGCAACGGGCCATCGCCAGTTTTGGGGTCGGATCTTCCAATCCACTTCATCTGACTTACGGGACCAACGCACAGCGACGTACAAGCCTCTCAAGCTCACCAAACTGTTACGCGATACGACTACCCGGTTGGACGCGCAACAGCAGGCAATGCTCGATGCTCCGATTACGGCAAACGACTTGTTTTGGGCGATCACGACTTCAAAGAACGGGAAAGCTCCTGGGCCGGATGGGCTGCCTATTGAGTACTACAAGCTGGCTTCAAATCTGTGGGCGCAAATCTACGAAGTGGTTTACGGTAATCAGCTAGAGAAGGGGAAAATGACCAAGTTTCAACGAAGGGCTCACCTTTCACTACTGTACAAGTCCGGCGATCGCACCATGCCCGGAAACTATCGACCGCTGACACTTCTCAACCATGACGCCAAGCTCGGACCAAAGGTCATGCAGCGGCGCTTGGGAGGAGTACTTCCGTTTCTTATTCATGAAGACCAAAGTGGCTTCGTTCCTGGGAGGTCTATTCGGCACTCGCTTCTCCGATTCCAAGACTTGCAGGAGATCTGCAAGACTAAGTACCCTGATGCCTGTGCGGTACTTCTAGACTTTGCGAAGGCTTTCGACAGTGTGCTGTGGCCCTGCGTTGGATATGGTACTTCCACACTCTCGCGTTTTCGCGTGCGCAAGTCTCCGAGCGTGGGTGAAAGAACTTCTAACAATGAAAACTCTCTGTTAGTCTGCTGCTCAACGACTGCCCCGGCGACCCTTTTCTACTGGGTGCTGGTGTACGACAAGGTGACCCTCTCTCACCTGGTCTGTTCGTTGTTTTCGTGGAACCAATGATGAACTTCCTTCGAGCCCGATTTGCTTCTCGTGGCATCCCTGTTGATGACGTGAGCCTACGACACCTGCTTTTGGCGTTTGCGGACGACTGCACGGGTCTCGTATCGACTCTAGAAGACGCGGAACAATTTCTGGAGTTAGTACAAGAATATGCCGACGCAGCCGGGCTGCGACTCAACGTAGAGAAGACGTGCATCATGCCCTTCTCCATCACGTGTCCAGCCAGAAACTTACCGACCTTCGAGACCGATCAACTTCAAGGTGCTGACTCCATGGGAATCAGTCAAGTTACTGGGCATTCAACAGTGCGACTATCACGTAGAAACAACGCTCAAGAGATGTGCTAAAGAAGATCCGGGCACGGTGCGCCTTTGGAAGTATCGAGCCCGGGGTCTTCGTGGTAAAGTGGTGATTCTCCAAAGCATCATCTTACCTTATTTAAAAAGAAGGGCAGTAGTCCCGCCGATGTGACAAGTCACGTTGAAGGAGGGAGACGTCCACAGTGGAAAATTTGTCAACTCACAAGACCCTTGCGCGTCGCAGGCAGCGCCTTGGAAATGAACAAAGAATGG